AATAATCAACTGAATAATACTGAATAATAATAATCAACTGAATAATACTGAATAATCAACAATAGGTCCAATTACAGTAGTCCTTGACTTACGACCACAATGGAGCCCGACATTTTCACTGCTAAGCCAGACACAGTTGTGAAGTAAATTTTGCCCCGTTTTACGACCTTTGAGTGAATCCACTGCAGTCATTAAGTTAGTAATGCAGTTCTAAAGTGAACCAGGTGTCCCCATTGATGACTCTGCTTGTCTGAAGGGTGCAAAAGATGATCGCATGACCCTGGGACATAGCAACCGTCATAAATATGAGCAGGGGTGGGCTTCAAAAATCTTAGAAACTGGTTCTCTGCCCGGTTGCTGGGTGGGCGTAGCCTAGTTGGTGTCCTGCACCATGTCAGGGGGGGGGGGGGGCATTTTCGCTCTCCCCGGGCTCTGGGCGCTTCCTTCGAGTCTCCGGGAGGATGAAAATGGCCTCTCTGGGTTACAGAGCCCCCTCTGGAGGCTGGAAACGGGCCCATTTCCTGCCTTCCAGAGCTTCCGTGAGGCCCGTTTTTCGCCCTTGTCAAGCTTCCCCGCGGCCCTGTTCTTACCTGGGATCCAAAATGAACTGCGGGCCCTGTTCTTACCTGGGATCCCAAATGGGACTTCTGGGAGGGGCAGGGAAAGGTGGGTGGGGCCAGCCAGGGGTGGGATTTGCCAGTTCACCGAACCGGCCATAAAATTAGCTACAAGTTCGGTATGGGTTCGCCCGAACCAGGGCGAACCGGTAACACCCCACCCCTGAATATGACTCGGTCACTATGTTTTTCAAGATGGCTGCGCGCATGGATGCTGCGGCTGGCTGTTCTTTCTTTCAGTGTATGGTGTGTATGATTCTGTGTGTGTTTACTGCACCTGTGTCTGGTTTGCCAATTGCACCGGGGCAGGTAGGACAGCACTCCAGAAGGTGAACGTCACTGCCCAGCGGATCACGGGTTGCCCTCTCCCCTCTTTGGAAGAGCTTTATAGCTCCCGCTGCCTTAAGAAAGTTCAAAACATCCTCAAAGATCCATCTCATCCTGGGCACCCATTTTTTGAACTATTACCATCTGGCAGCCGGTACAGGATAATAATAAAAACAAGGACAAATAGGCTGAAAAACAGCTTCTATCCCAGGGCAGTAACTCTATTGAATTCTACTGTCTAATGCAATATGAATGCAGTATCGGGGGTTTTCTATTCAATGTGTGGAGTGTGAAAGACGTGTGTTTGTGTTTTACTTTTATCGTCATAAAATACACTGAAGATGATTTTTGACTTTGTTGTACAAGGTGCAATCACAATAAAGTAAACTAACTAAGCGTCTGAATTTTGACCTTGTGACCATGGGGATGCTGAAACTGTCATGAATGAGAACGATCATAAGTCCCTTTTTTCAGTGCAGTTGTAACTTTGAACGGTCCCTAAAGCAGCGGTCGCCAGCCGGTGGGCTGTGAGAAAATTTTGGTGGGCCGCAGAGAAATCTCACCCCCAGAGCACCCCACACAAAGCAATTAATCCAGGCTGCGCAGAAACGCAAGGCTGCGCCGCCCACATGGCCCGCGGGAACCCTCCCCGCCCCCTCACTCCTTACCTGGCAAACTTGCCAGCTAAAATTGCTATTTTTCCTTTTTCCGACCATCATCTGTTCTGCTGCGCCGGGAGATTTAGATTAACTAGGAAGCAGGAAATGGTTGGATTTCTTGCTTTCTAGCTAGTCCTTAGATCTTCGGCTCAGCACAGCCGAACCTCCCTTAGGACTGAAGGTTTGCTTGCAAGCAAATTCAATGCAGACTCACGGCAAGCAAATTTGAGAGACTGAGCTAGCCGATGGCAGATAGATAGATCACTGAATGATTCTGTGAGCTACTCAATCTGCCTGCTTTGCCTGATTT